CTGTATCTCTGCATGCCTTGTTGAGGCACAAGAACGTTTTCCGGAAGGCACCAGGAAGAGTCGAACTCTGGCAGCACAAGCCCGATCATGTTGCGGGTGCTGTGAAGCAAATTCTTTGTTGCATTTCGGTAGGTGCGGTGCATCTTTGGAGCACCGGCTGCGGCAAGACCTGCGGGGCCTTGGAGGGCCGCATTGAGCGCCTGTAGCACTGTCCCAGGGTCAGCACTTGGATTGCTATCCGGGAGGATCTGAATCATGCTGGCCTCTGTCTGCTCAAACTGGAACTGAAAGGAAAGAACCTGATGGGAACATGGGAAAGCCCATCATGGCTCTGGTTTTGTGGAACCGAAAGTTTCCCGGGTGTGAGACTGCCTGGAAGGTGCAGCAGCGAGCAGCATCCATGGACCAGTTGAGCAGTCGAATGCCCGTCTGAGTCTCGTTGCTCGGCTGGCAGCTGGCAGTGATGCGAACACTCATCTTCACCAAGAACCTCATCAAGAATTCGCCGACGGTCGCAGATGCCACTTTGGAGTTCTTCCCGCTGAGACCCATCTCTCCAACCGTAGGCTCCTCCTTCGTCGTGAGGAAGCCGCTGGCCTTCTTGGAAAAACGATTCAGCAAGGCCTCTCTCAACACGGTTGATCCTCGCATGCGACTGCTCTTCAGAAGCGGGTGGTAGCAGGCACCTCGACGGGCTTCTGGACAGGTTTCCTCCAACAAGTCTTCCGTATTCTCCAAGCGAAGTTCCACGGACTGTGTGAATGCATGCAACAATCGCTTCGTTGCACGAGAAGAGTGCTCCTGAGCACGGAAAGAGCCCCTGCTGCGAGTGTGCAGGGTGACGTAGACGGCCTTGCCCATGGTGATGTACAACCTGTCATTCGGGAACAGCCTCGGCAGGAGAATGCAGGCTTTGCAAGCACAGAAGCTACAGGCGAAAAAACCTCTATCTATTTATAACCGAAGGACTTTGTTGTGGCTTGAGCAAGCACGTCTAGCCCAATGGCCGCAGTGGCGGAGCTCCAATCCTCTAAGAGAATCCGATTGCCTTCGACCTTCAGGGTGCTCTCCTGGTTGCGAGGAAGCAACCGCACGTCGCCTGAAAAATCGCACATTTTGTCAAACAGTTCCACCAAGGCCCAGGTCTGCTTCTGAGCATCGGCTGTTAGCGATCGGTTCTGCAAAAAGCTAGCTACGAAAGACAATGCCCCAGGGATGGTTGCACAGTCCACGGGCAGCACCTTGTCGCTTCCGTCCGGCCTGTCTCCCTTGTAGGCCGTTCGCCTGAGAACCTGAGCTGGCATTTTGTTGCACCAGAAGACTACTTGCTTCTGCAGGGACTCGCCGCTAGCCACTCTTAGTTCAAACGAAGGGCATGGTGGTCCGCCAGTTCCCATTCCTGGAGAATGGGCTTGCCCACCGTCTGAAAGGAACGGCTGTACCAAGAGGCAAATGTGGTCTTGAACTTCCACAGCTCCGGCACGGCCCACAGGAACCGATATCCATTGATGGCATCTGCCTCACCCACCTGCACACACTACTACAGGACAGCAAAGGATTTTGCATGCTTCGACAGCAAGCCAGTCTGTAGTGTTGCAAACAGAAAGCAGCCAGCCTTCAAGACTGACACCACATCAGGGCCACTGCAGTGGAAGAGCCAAGTGAAGGGAGTGCCCGGTTTTCCGGACGGAGACTCGGCCACCTGACCGACAGCTTCCTCACCATGAGTTTCCCGCGACACATGCGGGCTGGACACCGGCAAAGGAGGCAGTGGAACCGAAGCCTGCAAGCCTGCCAAGGCTTCTTTCGCCAGAGCTCTCAGCTCCTCTAAGGACACTTTGTCCACTTTCAGCCAATGCAAGAACAGCTTCGCCGCTGCAGCATGGGCTTCGTTTCTCAATCGACTCGCTTCTGCATCGGAAGCTGCATCGAGGATGCCATCATCTGCAGCTTCTAAAAGGCTCTTGAGCTTCTGCTGCAAGATTTTCACGTCTGCACTCATGGTTGGGCACACTCCTGGCCCCAACCTTTGAGCCTCGCCAAGAACGGCAAGTGTCAATCAGAGGCTCTTGTCACACAGAGCAGCTGCTGAGAAGAAGAGGCCTACATCATGGGGATGAAGGCGGCCACGGTTCGCACGACTCATGTAGTTCTGAGCAAACCAATTCTGGAGCTTCCGACCACGGTTGAATTTGTTTGGTTCTTCATAAGACAGTACTCTGTTATCGAAAGACACGACGACTAGGAACGGGGGCGCCGAAAACACACCTCCATCATCAACAATGTAACAAAGCGAGCTTCGGCTTCCAGCTTGATCCCTGGCTACTGTACAGAATCAGAACATATCGACACTTTGGCCCTGTGCAGATACTCCGACAAATTTCAGGCCTTCCGAATCTACGGCGACGCGAAACCCCATAAAGGAGAAGGCCGCCCAGGGCACAGATTTATGAAACATGGTTTCATGAAAAACTGGTTTTGGCTTTTTTTCCGAAAGGGTTTCCTGTTTTTTTTTTGGTCTGTTGTTCTTCTCCGAAGCATATGGCGCTACATTATTTTATGAAACATGGTTTCGGTTGAAACATTGTCTTTTTTCCGATTTGCTCTGGGCTTGTATGTTGATGTATGAAACCTGGTTTCATGTTTCGGGGCCTTATGCGAAGTAGCTTCAAAAACAAATCGGCAACGTGAGCTATCTCCATGGATTTCCAAACCGAGGAATGGCGAGAAACATGGATTTGCAGGACACCTGGGTTTTGGTTAGGGCATCGTTCTCGAAACTAAGCTGAGCATCCACGTCGGGCCCTGTCGCCAGAGTTTGTGACCCAGCCCCGAGAAGCATGGCCGAGCACAGCCTTCATTCCCGACTCCTGAAGCTCCCAGTGTGCCCTACTGTCCAGGGGCAAGCATAACCCTATGGACTGTCACGAAGGCTTCACCAATGAGACTTCAGGGCATCACCACACTACGACTGCAGGCTGAAGCATGTGAGGAGCATAGGACAACCTTGTCCTTGAAAAGTCGCCCGGATCACAAGACCTCCTGCCGGCAACCACTCCTGGGCTGCCAGCGGCGAATCAGTCGCCGTCGCTGTTGTCGTAAGCATCTTCGAAAGCCTGCCCGAGCA